GACCATCAATGTGGTTGCCAATTTTGTTACTTTTCACAGTATAGCATTATCAACTTTTACTTTTTTCTCTAAACCAAGAAATTTCCACTGTTATTGATGGTCTTTTAATAGTTACCTTCTACCTACCCCAGCCAATCATGTTAACCCAATTGTAAAATTATTTCAACCTAATATGTAAATACTGTAGTAAAAGTAGAGAATATATAGTATGTAAATAAGTATCTTATTGTAAATATTTTAGAATGATATGTAATGTAATTATAAGAAATATATATATTTAGTATTAAATTTAAGGTGTGACAACTAGAGGAAAGGTTGTTTTAAAAGTTGCATGTCCTATTGTGTAGACATTGTGTCGTGATGTTTTGATAGTCCAATTTATTGAAACCCTTCTTGAGAAGTTGACCCTTGAAGTATAAAGTTGAGTTTCCTTTATGTTCTTAGTTGATGTTGAGTAAAGTTTCAAATTAAGGGCTACTACCTTTAATTGATTACTGGAGAAGTTGTGTGGTTTCTTGTAGCTAGTTATTGGGTTAACTCCATAAGGGACTTGGTAATGCATGTTAAGGTCATGGTGCGCCTATATCCAACTATACTAGTCTTGACGCTGGAACCAGACTTTCTTAGTTTAAGTGGTGATATCCGAGAGATCATGTATGTGTTATGGATTGATATTCGAATTTGTTGTTGATCCAGCAAATCCAAAAAGATCATTTGTGTTGATTGGTTTAGTAGGGTCTAGTTACTTAGACTACTCACCTATGGTGTAAGAGTTCTCCTAATTGAATTACGTGATGACGCATATAGTTGTTGTGTTGCACATATGATGTATTGACTTAGTTGTGTTGTTTACATGTGGTGTTGATCTATGATAAAATGTGTTGATGTGTTAAAATTTGAGTTGTTGTTGTGTTTGTTTAAGTTGAGATTATGTTATGACATTGTATTGTAGTAGAATGAGTGGCTATGCTAATAGTATTAAATGTGTTATGGTGTCTGATGCTGGTTAAATATGAGATGGGATAGTGCACCTTGTTATTCCTATGTAAAGTTGACACATGTTAATGTTGTGGTGATGTTGGATTTAGTTGAAAATGTGATAATATGAGTGTTATTCATAATTAACATGTGGTTGTGTTGAATATATGATGTTGTTATGATGAAGAATATTGATAGATCAATTTTTGTATATCTTTCTATGCATTTTTTTGGTTTATTTGACTTTTATTAGTATCATATTGTGATATATTAGCTTTGATTTATTCTAGTTAGTCATTTTGGTCTTAGTTGTAAATTTTAGTTAATTTCAGTAATTTTTTTCCCTGTTTTGAAATTATTTCTTATGCAGGTCATATCTAGAGCTCTCGATGTTAGATTTGAATGTTCTTGGTGTCCTTGAAAAGATAAGACCGTTCAGACACTAAGTAACCCAAAATTGCATTGTAAAGTTGCAGCCCTACACAATTTTTTCTTTTCTTTTTTCTTTTTAGATTGTACTGTTAGGATTTTTTTAGTGATGTAATTAATTGATTTAGTGGGTTGAACCTTTAATTACTCAGATTAGGCCAATTAGTGTAGTTTATAAATAAGTGTAACACATGTACACTTGATATCATATACCTCATTTTTCAAATTTTAGAGTTATTTCCTCTATAAATTTCTCCAATTTCTCTCTCTCTCTCTTTGATTTTTTCTTACACAAATTGGATTCTTGCAACATGATTATGATGCATGGCTAATTCATTAATTGATTCTAGGTTTCAAGAACTACAGTAAAATTCGAGTTCTTAATCTTTTTACCGAACGAATTTTCTGTTTCTCTTCGTTGTTTTTAGGCTTAATTTCTTTTTTCATGATTGTGAATTTCTTTTTGGATCTAGGAATAAAGATTTAAGATTAATTTTATATCTAAATTTAGATTTAGACCTAAAATAACATAAATCACCTAATTCAACCGTTCATCGTTCTTGAATTTTATTCAAATTATGAGATTGTGATTGTGTTTTATGTTTTAATGAAATTCATAGATATAGGTTTAGATCTACATTTTTTTGATTAAGTTCATGTTGAGTTAGGTTGATTGATAATTCAAATTTATTGTTGAACAATGAAAATTTTACTATACGGATTGAAACCTTAAATTGATACTTTTCCGATTGAAACCTTAAATTGATACTTTTTCGATTGAATTTTTAATTCCTAATTTTTTGTTTGTTGATTGAATACTATTCAAATATTAAAAATTTCCTTCCTAATTATATGTTAAAATACGAATTTAATGTGTTTGTGTCTTCGTGAAGAATAACATAGGTTGTTCCCTATTGTAAATTTTTAGGAAAAATCTAGTTTATTTTTTATAGTGACTCGACATTCGCTATCAAACATGAGTTGTGGATGTAGTGATATTTTTAATTGATATTGTGTTGTAGTAGAATGGAATATATTCATGTTGATAGTGTTGGTTGTGTTGTGATGATATATGTTGATAGTGTTAAAACCATGATGAAGTTGAGGTTGTTGACTTTAAAATGTGATGAAGTATTATATTGTTTATAAATGGTGTTGTATATGTTGATTTATGAATTCTAACTTATCCTTGTGTGCTTTCATTTGTTTTTTTGATCAGCCAAGCAATAAGTATTATATATAATATGGAAGCACCAGAGGTACTCAATTACATATGTAAAAAGTCACAAAGCAAGCCTAAATAATAACCTACTATGGATTACTTAGCTTGTACCTCTATAGTTATAATCAGAGAGGACCTTCTACATTAACAAAATTAAAGTGCCTTAGTCATAGTACAATTAACAGTCTTTAAGAGAATCAAAGCATGTGATTGGGCTATAATGATTATACTTGATATGAGAATACAACAAAAATAAGTTGATGAACTATGTAGTAGAAGTCATCTGACAAATGGTAAAGTGATGTTTTTTGGTGCTATCCTAAAGTTACATTTTTAGTCAACCTAAATTACTGTATAGTTTTATATACATATATGTAATATTTCATATTAGTCGTAATTCAATATATATATATATATATATATATATATATATATATATTAAGTGGCAAATAAGTTTAAAGTATTCATGAATTATTTTTAACCATTATGGATGGTTTCTTGACCTACATGAATATACCTCATGATATTTAAGTCCAAAAAATTAGAGTATTCAAATCTGAATTAAAAGAAATGAAAACCAGTCAATTGAAAATCGGAAAAAGCTATTTCTTTTGTTGTTGTAGTTTATTTTGATATTCAATTCTTCTTGTAAAATTCAAACTAAAGCAAATTAAATTGCATATCACACTTGTTTATATTACTTTTATACTCATATAAAATATCATTATCTAAACTTAAGTAAGACTCAATTTTAATAATGATAATACATGATTCTATACGTGTTCAAAACCTTTTAGTTATTACAAATTATGAGTTTATGAATGTTTGTAATGCACTTCTTATAAGGTGTTTTTAATCTAATTATTATCTTTTGGTTGCTAGTTATATAAATGTTATTTTTAAGGTTTGATCATAACTTAATTAATTATTAAATTCAATATTACGTATAAATGTGGATAGTTCGAGTAGGTTTTAGATACTTTAATCAAGGTTGACTTAAGATGTAAAAGAAAAATAAATTAGTTAATATTACGAGAAATCAGTTAAGTTTTCTATTTTTTTTATCCAAGTTAAGTTTTTCTGTTTGAGAAATTAATGATCAATGACAGATGTTTTGCATCAATAACTTAATGATAAAAATTTTTTTAAGGTTAAATATTTTTTTTAGTTTTTAATTTTTCACTTATGCAATTTAGGTTTTCTTAATTTTTTTAATTTTAATTTTAATGCCAAATTGACAAATGATGTAAATGTAATAAAAGAAATTGTCAAAATATTCAAAGTGAGATTACATCTTTCAACTCTTAGAGGAATATTTCATCTCTAAGCTAATGATTTGTAATAAAAGAAGTATTTTTTTATCAACGAAAACAATTTCTTTCGAAATTATATAATTGAAAATTATAATATATAATATATATAATATATATATATACTATAAAAAAATTATATTTGAATACCCTAAATACTACTAGATAGGGATGGCAACAGGGCGGGGCGGGTAATGGTTTCATGATACCCGTCTCCGTCCCTGCGAGCCAAACTCATCCCCGTCTCCGTACCCGTACCCGTCGGGTATGTAATTTTCATCTCCATCCCCATCCCCGTCGAGTATCGGGTATACCCGTACCCGTACTCGTACCCGTCAAATTTTTATTTTTATTTTTATTTTTTTTCAAATATAATATTTTTAAATTATTTTTTTAATTAAATCATAATTATAATTAGGTTATTTCTCTATCTTATATTATAATAAATAATCACATATAAAAAAATACTAAAATTCTTTAATATAATTAAATTAAAAGTGGGTACTAAATTAAAAATAGGAACGGGACGGGGACGGGTATGGGTACGGGGCGGGTAAGTACATACCTGTACCCGTACCCGATTTAATATATCGAATTTTACCCATACCCGTACCCGTACCCGGTCAAACCGGGTATTCCCCGTCAAAGTCGGGACGGGTTCGGGTATTACCCGCGGGTACGGGTATATTTGCCATCCCTACTACTAGATACCTAGTGATAAATAAACAAATATAAATATAATTGGATAACATAATGTAATAGGAGAATGATAAAAAAAAATGTTTAAACTAAATCAATAAAGTATAAAGAAAAGAGAAGCACATTCTTCTCATGTGGCAAGAGCTTTATTATTCCAGGCCCAACCCACCCCTCATAACAAAAACCTTTTGATTGTATAACAAACCATGAATTCGACTTCTGAGTTTGCTTAGGAAAACAACAAAAACCTGAGTTTTTACTAAATTGCCAAATGGAAAATCCCCAAGAGGGTGTAAATTGGTAATTTGGTATAAAAGATGAAATATAGAGCTGATGGCGTTCTTCTGTTAGTGTACTTCACGGTTATGGGTCGAAAAAACATTACTAAGGCACGAGTTAATGCTATTGTTGGACATTTCCATTGAATGAAAGGATAATCATAATCCATGCAATTAAATATCTCTTCATTATAAGGGAAATCACCATTCACCAACTTCCACCTACATAAAACTAAAATGAAACACTGAAACTCCCGAACTTAATTCCTAGGCTATGTAAAGTGCCTACACAGGCTTCATTTCACAAGGTCGGTTTATAAACAACTATGGGGCTTCTCACTCTGTGTTTGGAGTCATTCCATTCGAGTGATGCTGACAATATCTTTGTCTCCTCAGGCATTGGAGGCCCCTTCAGCACAACCTTGAACGACAACTCTTGGTGCAATCCACTAAACTTTAACGTGTCTGGGACAACCTCAATGGAAAGACCCTCAGGAGCTATGACCCTGGCCTTGTAAGTTGAATTACCAAATCCTACGTTGGTCACCCTCCGATAGAAGACTGCAGAAATGCTGGAATTGGAAGGCACGATTTGAACATGCATGGAAGGGTAGTTGATTCCATCAGTGCCTTGTGGAGAGTCAATGGTGGAGCAATTGAAGCCTTTGGTGCCAATTATTATTCCAATGCTGCTGCTGTTGTAGCCTTCTTTGCATAGGAATGCAATGTAGGAGTTCATGCTAATGTTGTAAAGTAAGCCAGGATTCAATGCTCTCACTGGGTTGATCTGTCCTGACCCTGATCCTAGCTCTGCTGTCTTATCTTTGATTCTCATGGGAGTAGCTGAATCATAAAGACCAAAACAGATTAGAAACTAAAAATATTCATGAAAAATTTGCCTTGTCAACCAAGAATTTCATTACTTCAGTTATATATGTATAATGCTAACCCTTCATTCCTCCAACATCAGAAGGAGCTTACATGGGAGTAACCAGAACAATTTATGTCGGTCCAAATTGTTTGTATGTTGTAAATAGGAGAATGTTTACTAGTACCCTTGTCTCATTACTCCTGACGTGGGTGTGAGATGTGTTAAAATACTACATTTGTCATGAGTGTTAACATCCAATATAAAAAAGATATATTCTATGTTGAGTGTTTGACCCACATAGAATACTTAAATATTCTATAGCATCTTGATCTATGTTGAGTCTAAATTGATATAGAGGTGAAACATTAAAATTTTTATGTACAGCAGTAAATGTTTAATTTTTAAGAAATTACAAATATTCATTAAATTATGCTAATATTTTCTTGTCTTTAGAATGCTATTTAACAAGAAGTTACCAAAGTATGAAAAAAAAATTAGGAGCGATAATAATACACTTTCTCTCATTGCTTAATTTTGATTAAAATTTATTTAAAATTATAAAATCAGAAGTGAGACTCATCCTTAAATAACAGGAGAGACTCATGGAACTCGGTGGTTTTCAATTAATTTTGATCAACAATAAAGAGTATTCCCAAGAATGTTAGAGAATAACTTGCGGTATTTTTCAAAATCTTTCTGTTTTGATATCTAACCAAAATATAGATGCAATGATCCTAAACAATTGAACTAACAGCTGTTAGAGAAAAGAAACTCTGAACATGTTTCTTGACTAATGAGTACAACAGATGATGAAGCTGTAAGGGTTTCTCACCAGTGGTCATGAGAGCAGATTTAATTGCAGCAGGACTCCAATCAGGATGAAAGGATTTGACATATGCGACAGCAGCAGCAACATGTGGACATGCCATAGATGTTCCTGACAAAATGTTAAAAACGTTTCGACGGTTGTCTTTAGGGTCCCCTGTTAGTGTTGCTAGTTTGGAAAATCCAGCTAGAATGTCCACTCCCGGAGCACTCAAGTCAGGCTGCACATACAAAAACCCTGAAATTCAGAAACCATAAACCAAGCCCAATAATTCTCCCATGAGTATCACGTGCGTGTATTGGCACCACTTGTTAAAAGCTTATGACAACATTAAAATAACTTTAGTACATAAACTTTATTATTGTTATTTTAACATCTCTTAAGCTTTCAATTAGTTGTGTTGTGCCTATAGTCAGTGTTCATGCATTAGTTGCTCACAAGATAAGATGTGGATAGTTATAGTCACCTTTAGGATGTTGAAGGTGATGGATTGAGGACCTCTGGAGGAGAAAGAAGCAACGTATGGAGCAGGGCTTCTTGTACTTATGGTCTTCAGTATAACAGCTTGAGCATTCCTGAATGTTATGTTACTTGAAAAAATTAAACATAACCAGTTTGGGTGGGCTGCGTGGTGACCACAAATCATTAAATGATTCTAGATCATGTGATCTCGATCAATCTTTATCAGACATTATTGATTTGATTTAATTATATTCTCTCTCACTCCTTTTATGATTTTCTTAAACTTTCAAAATTATATACTTCATCATTTAACTTTCAAGATTTCTAATTAATTTGCCAACTTGTTAGTTGATTAAGTTAATTGACTATTGACTTAACACATTAATAATTGACATTGCATCTTAATTGTTTATCATTGACATTGATTAGTGATATAATATATTAATCTGACATAGTATATCATATCGACAATCAACAAATTATATAAACAGCCAACTAACGATATCAGATAATCAATCAACATGTTTATTAATTTTTTCATTAATTATAAATATAATAACATGTCACGTTAAAATTGGTTGATGACATGATCCAACCACGTAATAATTTCCGGTGAAAAATATAGTAAACTAAATAAACTTACTTGGTGGAATTGATGTAATGGTCAATGGTTTTGCCAGCAGAGAAGGCATCAACATAGACCCCAGGAATAATAGTGGTGGTTGAGTAATCTGATGGGTCTTCAACAGCCATGATGGTGCCTGCTCCGTCCAATTCTTTGATCACGTAGTCTTGGTTCCCTGTGCCAAGGCAGTACACTATCTTGCCCATTACCTTCTCCTTGCTTAGACTTCCATAATCACATGCACTGCATTATGTATATATATGCGTAATTTGTCTCAATCTTATATCAAAGTTCTCAAAGAAATGCACTTTTTTGTTTGTTTGGAGAATATGAACAAAACTCGGATACAATTCTATAGGTATCATTGATGTTTTCTGATTAGATCGAAATAGAGTTTTATTTTAGTAATATATATAACTAAAAATTATATTAAATATAAATACATATCATCAAAGTAAAATTTTAATTATGATCAAATATATATCAGTGCCAATAGTATGTATAATACTGTTAAGTTTTGTTTGTTATATACCTGGCATTGCCATAGCCGTCTCGGCTAACATTGGAAGCAAGTTCTCCACTAATCAGTGGGTACATGTTTTTCCCAGGGGTAAAGGTATTAATGGACATTCCCTGCCAATCAATTATACAACAAAGTAAGTTATTCCTAATTTTGTGATACACGGAAATTATTAATTTTTTTGTATTTACTATTATTTTTTAGGGTTTAACATGTTTTTTCTTGTATGCAGAAATTTTGGCTTAATTTTTCATTCTTTTGGTTGATTATGGTTGCTATAAATTTCAAAATTACTTTGAGCCAAATTTTTTTAAGGATTATCTTAGATATATGAGATTAAGGATATAATTCAACTCTACTAAAGTAATTCATAAAGAGTTTTCCTTCAACTTATATATTTCCTGAATTTTAATTGAGGAACACTAACAACATTCTATGATACTCTGCTATTAACATTTTATTTAATATAAGTTGAAATTTATTAAAACTCACAAATTTTATAGAATACATATCTCATTCAACGAATCTTTTTTTAATTTATTATTATTTAGTGATAGAACTCACAATTGTATGATTTTCAACTAAATAAAAAAAAGTATAACAAGAATTGTTAAAATTAACTTGATCTGACAAGCCGACCCATTAGCTTGTTAAGTCATGTTAGACGAACTCATTAAATTTAAGTCTAGAATATATAAATCACACCAATTTATAACATATTTGGTTTCACATTTATATATTTTAAAATGAACTTTCATGCGTTTTAATGTTCTAAATGACAAAGTAATTGTTTTTATAAGAAAAAAAAAAGTGGGTTATGGTCATTTTTTCAAACACACACTTAATCTAGCAATATGTACAATTAACTTGTTATGTTTTTTTTTTTTTTTAAATCATATGTAAATTAATTGAAAAAAAAATAAAATGATTTAACGAACCCAATTCTCATGCTATGGCTGATGGGTTGGAGGGGTCATTTGAGATGTCACATGTGTAATATTAATTAAGGAGCGTATTAGAGAGTTACCGCAGCTTTCTCGCCATCCCCAAGAGCAACGACGGTGGAGAAGCGCCTATCAGTGGAGGAAGCGGCGACAGTCAAAATCCAAGGAGCGACATTTTGAACGGTCATGGTGGAAGGTCCATCGTTGCCAGCAGAGCAAGAAGTGAGAATCCCTCTCTGCATGGCATGGAAGGATCCAATGGCCATGGGGTCGCTGAAGAACATCCTCGGAGACCCTCCCAAAGACACCGAAATAACGTTGACGCCGTCCGCTATGGCCTCGTCGAACGCCGCCAGCAAGTCCATGTCGCTGCAGCCCATGATGCTCCAGCACACTTTGTACATCGCTATGCGGGCGCGCGCCACCCCGCCCCGCGCCGTGCCGCCGCCGATGCCGTCCAGGCTC